TGCCGCATCCATGCATCAGGCCACACCGGAGCTGGTATCTACCCATGTCGACTACTTCGCTATGGAGGAAGACTTCGACCCGGGAGGAGCTGAGGACTGGCAAGAAACACCCACAAGGATGGCGGTAAGCTATATGCACCCCCATTATGACCACCTTTTTGCTAACAAGCTCAAATTTTAGGGCGCGCTTGACAGGGTGGACGGTAACATCACCGGGAAAGATGGCCAGATGCGCCTTACTAGCCCCGCGGCGGCGCAGTCATTTGGTTTCGAGGACACGCATACCCAGCCTTTTGACTCCGACGCTCAGCTCAAGGACACGTTTCAGCCTGTCCGCATCCTTGGGCTGTATGATGACCCGGACGACCTCGACGCGCTACAGCTCCTTGCAGAGGACTTTTGTCCACAACAGGTCGAGCCGGAGGACGAGTCTTCACCAGAGGACGTTCCCACCTCCCTCAGCGCCCACCCCTCATCATTGGCCGCCTGTTCTGCCGACCCCTCTGAGTATCCTCCTGATGCTGTATCCTCAGCCGAGCCGCTCGCCACGCCGGCGATGTCTACTGGGAACAACCTTGGGCCTTGGGTCGCCAACATCTCCACCTACAACCCTTTGGATCCAGTCGAGTCATGCGATGCGGAGGCTGGGGCAGAGGTTGGACCGGCCGAGAGTTGTCCTGGAATCTCTGAGCCGGCAGACCCGTTGTTTGCACGAGCAAGCGAGCTCCCTCCTATTCCCCCTCCTCTTCCTGCATCCGACGTCTACGCTTCGTCGCACCACCTCTGGTACATCCGCTCCGTTCTCTTATTGGTGATTTTCTTGCACACCCACCATCATGTAACCTTCCGCGCTTGCAACCTCGCCCTCTCGACGCTCCGCACAATTTTTCTTGCCCTCAAGCTCATCGACACTGCCGATCCAATGCCTGCAACACTTACGACCGCACTCAGGCGACTCGATCTCACCGACAGGTTTCACATCCTCATTGAATGTCCGCAGTGTCGACGTCTCATGAAACCCGAACTCGTTAACCGCCACATCAAATGTCCAGCATGTGAAAGCCCCCTCTTCAGCCAGGGTCCTCGCAACATACTGTTGCGTCTCCTCGGGCGTCCTCCCCCTACACCAATACCCAAAGCTGTCTCACCCCTTCGCCTCCTCTCTGCGGCCCTCGTGTACCTGTTGCGACAACCGGGCATCGAGAGGCATCTGGACGCCTGGCGCTACAGACCTCCCCCTCCTGCTGGCGTGTTCTGTTCCATCCAGGATGGTCGCCGGTGGAAATCTCTGCCGGGGGCGGACGGCCAGCCATTTTTTGGTCCGAACGGGGCGGAGGAGCTGCGCATAGGAGTTATTCTCCACATTGATTGGTGAGTACTTCACGATTATGAATTCCTGGAATCGTTGGATGGCTCTCTTGCCCTTGATTCCTTGCAGCTGTCAATGGAGTCCTCTGTAGATTTGCCGCTAGAGTGATCGAGATCGCGGATGCTCAGCACGGTCATCGTCTCAGCCTAATGTCAAGATGAGATTTAGTTTCAGCCTTGCTCGAGTTGCGTCTACGTCAGCCAAGCGGGGAAACTGACGGCTTCTCTAATAGGTTTTCCGTATCATCCAGTGCTTTCAGTGCGTCATACTCAACGGGCACAATCTCCTTTTCCATTCCTAATCTTCCACCTGCACTACGGTGCGTAATCTCCGTAACACTACTTGCAAGCCATATAACTAACGTTGGCAGTAGCTATCGGGTGGAGAACCTTGTCCTCAGTGCGTTGACTGATGGACCCAAGGAGCCCGACGCTGAGGAGTTGCAGTATTGGCTTGAGCTAGTCGTGGACGATCTGTTATTGCTGTACCACCTAGGGATATTCACCCCAACAGAGTCGCGCAAGGAAGGTGTGTCATGTGTGCTTGTATATGAGATATCGATCGGTGACATTTTGGCTTCTAGGTCGACGATCCCGGGTCGCGCTCGTTTGCACCTGTTCAGATCATCCCGCCATGTGCAAGGCCAGTGGGTTCGCTGACAAGAGCCACAACAACGCCCCGTGTACACAGGGTGTTGTCAACGGTGAAAATATGTATTCGGATGAGTGTCTGAAGGGCGGTAAGTGTGTACGTGTACTGTTAGAAATGCAAGCTGACATATCGATTATCAGGATGTCCGCCCCGAAGTGCCCAGGTGCACGTCGCGCATGCGCGAGCATGGAAGGCCCACGAGGACAAAAAGGAGCGAGATGCATACTTCAAGTTACACGGCTCACGGTGGTCTGAGTTGATGCGGCTGCCGTATTATGACTGTGTTGCCATGACGGTGATTGACCCGATGCATAATTTGTTGCTCGGTACGTTGGGCTTCCGATGCGGATCAATGTGTGTTGTTGCTGATCACAGAGTATGTAGGTGTCGTTAAAAACCAATGGTATACGTGTTGGATCAAGGGTAGCGCGTTGCGCGCAGACACAAAGGCAGGTACAAAGCGGGAGTTATCAATACTGCACTGTTTCCTTGACTCAGTGAGTGTTGCACGAATTGTAAAGGATAGTGGCCCTACTCAATAGTCTCTCAGTTCGAGGCCCCTGAATGGGCTGGGCGACTTCCTCTGCGTGTCGGCGAGCCCGCTGGTGGGTCCCTCACAGCAGATGAATACAAGCTGCTCATTACGTGCCCCGGCATGATGATTGTATGTGACCTTTTGCTCGTTCGGTTTTGGGGCCATGTCTGACTGTGATATGGTGGAGATTCCTTTAATTTGGCATCAGTTCCTTCCAGAGGCTGCAAAGGACCATGAGATTGCATGCAAGAAACACGAAGCGGCCCTGCGCAAGCATGATGACGCAGCCCGGAAGCACGAATCAGAGCTGCAAACCCTTGGGACCCAGGTCGCGGACTCCAACATCGATCCAAGACAGCGTACAAAACTCGACAAGAAAATCAAAGATCTAGTGGCGAAGTCCCCGAAGCCTCCATCAAAACCGACGCCGCGCATGCAGGACGCAGAGGTTCCGCTCATGCTGTCTCTCGCTGGGGCACTGAAGCTCCTCCTCGGTGGCTCGACAACGGAGGAGCAACGCCAGCGTGGGGCATGTCTACTCTTTGCATATTTGCAGGATTTCAAGCGTGTATG